ATTAAAAATGAGTTAGCTTGCCTTGAAGGAGTGAATGTTTCAAGAAGGACCACAGCAAGAAGACTCCATGACAGAGGATTACATTTAAAGAGGCCTCTACGTGTTCCGAAGCTTAATTTACAGCACAAAATTACGCGACTACAATGGGCTGAGGAGATGAAGCAAATGGACCTAATTGGAATTTCGTCATGTTCAGTGATGAAACAAGAATAGGCCTAGTGTCAGACTCGCGACGAACTTTGGTCTGGAGAGCATCTGGAAAACAAGCACGCTTGAATGCAGCTCTTTCCCGTATCCCGTTTCAAGGGGGAAGCTTTATGGCATGGGCAGGTATAATGCACGGAGCTCGAACTCCTCTTTTTTATTCATGGCACAATGACAAGTGCCTCATATCTTAGAGACGTTTAGTTCGAATTTGTTTACATGGACGATAATGCTCCTCCCCATCGCACTTTAGCGGTTCGCGAATTTTGTGAAGAAGAGGGTGTAAGAAAACTGTGGCGGCCACCGATGTTTCCAGATATGAATGTGATCGAGCATGTTTGGGACATGCTAAAACGCCATATTGCCAAAAGGAATGATCCCCCCGTACCTTAAATGAATTGAAAATTGCTGCGCGCGAAACATGGGAAGCCATTTCTCAACATCTTCTGGGCAACTTAATTGAGAGCATGCCACGTCGTCTCACAGTTTGCATTGAGGCTCGAGGAGGCAATACAGACTACTAGTTGTGAGAAATAATTAAAATTGTTTTCAATATTTTCTGTTTAAAATGAAATTTGTTTTTGTTGATTTTCACTCATTATGAAATAAAATTATAATAACAGCCTAGTTGCACTTAGATGTTTAATTTTATATCAGTTAGTCGTGTAGTAAGCCAATCGTCGTCGTCGTTCCCTTTTTCGGTTTAGGTTTAAAAAACCTGTTCCGCTTCACCATCTCTGTATTGGTCGTCCAATACTTCTCCTTCCTGGAGGTTGATATCGTAGCATTTTTTGTGGAATTCTATCATCTGACATTCTTTCTACATATTCCTCTCATTTGTTTTTATATACCTTCACTTTTTCTTCTAATGGTTGTATTTTTAGTTAATTTCTTATTGTGTCATTTCTTCTCTACTTATTCCTTTTATTTTTCGTAAGAACGTCATCTCCGTTGTTCTGAGTCTTTATCTTTATCATAGGTTATGTGGCATCCCAAGAAGCTGAAGTGCGATATTTGCTGTAGTGGTTTATTTCTTAAAACTATTTTGGTGCGGATTCCTTCTTTGCTCCAGTATGCCATCACTGTTGTTTTTTTGGTAGATATTTTTCCATCATATTTTGTTATTATCTTGTCTAGGAGATGAACCTGCCTTTGTAAGGTATCCTCGTCTGGTGCGACTATCACTTGGAGTAAGCCAATATGTCTAAAAATATAAAAAGTATCATATTAGGTCCAAAATAAAATAAAAATATCGTTATATACAATAATTTTGGCCATGTGTGTAGTTTTAAGCTAACCTTCGCCTTTGGGAAAATGTAAACTGTCCCTAGCCATTTGTTCCCAATAAAGACATAATATGATGTAATTTTCTCAGACGAGTTTCGTTCCGATTTAAAAACGTAAACCTACCGGTAAAACGTAAACATATACAGGTCGACGGATGGTTCGATGGTAGATTTATCGCGTACAATTCGGCAAAAATCCATAGAGAGAGGTTGAGCTATGCGAGCGGTCTCGGCACGGTTCGGACGTCCATATTCCGCAGCGGTGCATCCGCCGGCCGTTTTATTGACATATATTGGATTTAAATACGGAAACCGGGCAGAAATATTGCGCCCTAACGTATTCGAAATTAGCGCGGGCCGGGAAATTCATCACCGTATATTTTACACCGGCATACCGATGCCGAACCCTTATGAATGTATTTATAGCGGGTCGAATTTCGGCATTCATTATGTTCCTCTAATACGTTGTAGAATATGTCGGACCCGACAAGTTATCTTTTTGTAATAGAAGAATGTATTTTGAGCATCAATTTCTAGTATTGTTGATATTTGTGTAAAAAATAGGACATATGCTTGTAATTGCTGCTTACCTCAATTTAACATAAATATTAATAATGCATGAAAGGCTTTTCTGCAGTGTTCTGTATTGTGAATTCCTTGAATTGTTATTCCCTCAATTGAGCTCTGCCCGCTTTGCATTAAGATCTGTTTCCAAGGAGCTTAACTTGTCAGTGGCTAGAACTGTTTATTATGCACTTTTTGAGTCGCACCTCAGATATGCCCTTCCATTCTGGTGTACGTGTTGTGCGACTCAATTTGACCGCATTTTTCAAGCTCCAGAAGAGAGCTGTTCGATATCCGCTGGGACTATACAGCAGAACTCATTGCCAAGACTTTTTTTAAAAATTAAAAATATTAACTCTTCCTTCCTTATTTATATTTCAATCCGTTTGCCTAATACGTAAGCATGTATCAGCTTCTCAAGAAAGGCCATCTCACACTTATCCACTGAGGAACGCGGAGCAAGATCTTTATCTACCTACCCCACGCTCAGAGTTAATTAAAAGTTCAATATTATACAACTCAAAAAAATGCACCTGCCATTTGAAATGAAATCCATAAGCAAGATCTTTATCTACCTACCCCACGCTCAGAGTTAATTAAAAGTTCAATATTATACAACTCAAAAAAATGCACCTGCCATTTGAAATGAAATCCATAACATCATTTTCTTCATTTCGCAAAGCATTGAAATCTTATTTACTAGATAAGGCTTTCTACCCCGTAAATGACTTATATTTTGATAATCGAATTTGATCTTGTAAACACTGGTCTAATATTTGCTATTACTATATTTACTATAAACTTAATAAATATTTTTGAATCTTATTTTTTTATTCTTTGACATTGTAAACATTTATAAATGTTTATTTTAAACAATAAAACTGACTATGTAATTTGTATACTTGTTTTGTTTTTATACTTGTTAGTTTTTATACTTTGTTTTTTATTCTCTTTTGTTTGTTTACTTTACCTTTGTCTACAAATTGTCAATTTTTTTGACAATAAAGGCATTTATTTATTTATTTATTTGTTATAATCTTCTTAGTCGCATTCTCATGTCTGAGAAATCGTTATCTCATGAAATCAGGTACATCTTTTTACTCTAGTTTTTTTATGTTTGTTGATCCACTCATAGAGCTTGTGGTGTATTTGTAATTTTTTTGACTTGATCTATCTACCTGCCTCTCGGTCATTTTCTTTCTACCTTTCCCTGTACTGTTAGATTTTCGTTGTCTCTCTTTCGTTAAGTTGTCTCCCTCGCGTCTTAGTGTGTGCGAAGTATTTTAGGATTCATCGGCGATATTGTGGACAATCTGTCTTTAACCTTCAACTCCCTTAATATACTTAGACATAGATACATTGGTGTGTTTCTCCGTTATGTATGTATATTCTCTGTCCAGCACCACATTTCAATGCATCTATTCTTCGTATGCCTAATGTTTTCATCGCCCAGGATTCCGCTTCATACAGGAAAGTTGGGAATATGAGGGATTTTACTATGACCTTCGTGTCTCTTGTAATGTGACGATCTTTCCATATTCTTATGAGGTATCTATATTTATTATAGAAGTAGACGGTAAGAGGAGGCCGGATGGACAACTCAAAAGGTTCAAGGATATTTTCCACGAAAACTTAAAGGGAATTAACAAGCAGAATGAGTGGGAAGAGGCAGTTCACAATAGAACGGAATGGAGAAGAATTGTAAAGTCAGTTAACAGCGACAACCAAAAAGGAAAGAGGCAACAAAGCAATGAGATTTTTGAATGTCTGGAGTGCGGTAGATCATGTATCCGACTTTTCAGTCACAGAAAAGCTCATGAAAGAAAACGCCTTGCGTAACCATCTTCTGATGCGTGTCAAATACTCGTCAGCAAGTAATGGCAGTATGTATGTATGTGTATTATAGAAGGGAATCTGACATCCTCGATACTCAACCTTCCATCTACCTTTTTTCCAATGGCTTATGAACGCCTAGTGCTATATCGCATATTTCTGATGCTATCGCAGTGTCATATGTGTGTAGGATGTATTCCTTCTTTTGTTTGACAGAATCTGCACACAGTCTGTTAATCTGATCAGTTTTAAACGTATATTGGGCTTGTAATGCGCTGTTAGTACCCGTTCCAGTTTTGACAGTTTTCTTGTGTTTGCTTATTAGATCTGACGTAAATTTTGGCGAGTGTTCTTCTACTATGAACTGTTTCGCATTTTTCATACCAAGAAATGAAAATTTAACCCAGTGACATTTAAAAAAATTATATTGGGTTAGAATAAACGAAAACTAAAGGTCTATCCAACGAGTCGGGAAAGGTTTTGAGATACTATATTAAAAAAATAACAAAAAATATAGTTGCTTTTGAATTAAAGTGACAGACAACTGTCATTGCCATATGTTTTCACTCTTTGAACAAACTAGTTTCCAAAAAATTTGCCTAACCAACGAAAATAAAATTTGACGTTGAGGGGGTATGTCCACATCGTCAGAAGCAAAAATTAATAGAGAACTCTTTAATAAATAACTTTTTTTCCAGAAATGACCCTATAACAAAGGTATACTTAGACATTATTTATGATTTATAGTTTAACAGTTAAGGCGGGTTGGCACAGTCTAAGTGTACTTGGACCAAGTACACTTGGATGCTGCCATATACAAGATTACTTATATGAATGCTACGCGCGTCGCATTTGTACGCCCCTGCTTGTATGGTCTTAACAGTTTTGTCCAAGTCGAGTTGGAAGGATTCGTAACATGCAAGTAAATAGGCAGCAAGCCTATACTTACTTGGATGTTACGAAGCTTTCAAATACGAGTTGGATAAAACAGTTGATATTTATATGACAATTATGGCAGCATCCAAGTGTATTTGATCCAAGTACACTTGTACCGTCATCTTTTTAATATTTTTTCAATCAATTTTTATTTATTCATGTTTATATTAATATTAGTTCCCTTTTTCCTTTCAGGTAAGTTCCCATCTTTAATATTCTAGGTGGTAAGTTCATATTAGAATAAATAAATATTTTCTAAAGTACATAGGTACTTATTCTTTCTAAACTGTCACAGTAATATAAAAAATTGGTCAAATGCGAGTCGGACTCGCGCACGAAGGGTTCCGTACCATTCTTTATCTATACAACATTAGCCGCTAACTTATTATTAACTTTTTTTCCGATTTAGCTGAAATTTTGAATGCGCATATAAGTAATTTAAAAAAAAATGAAGTAACACATTACTAAAAATTGTATTTTTATTTTTTTTAGTATGAAAGCTTAGAGCTGCCATCGCAACACTGAAAAATAATTTTAGCAAAATTTACACTTTTTCTGTAAATGTTAAATTTACACTTTTTCTGTAAATTTACACATTTTCTGTAAATTTACAGATTTTCTGTAAATTTACACTTTTTCTGTAAATTAAATGCGAAATTTACTACCCAGCAGGACGACGCGTTACGTCTCGGCATTGACCTGTTCGTTACTCGGTAGTTACAAGTGAGCCTTGTTCTCTGCTGGTTAAGTTGCCATTGTGCCGACGAAGTACAGATATTCATCAGAAACTACTTTCAAATCGGATTAACTCACAAAAAAATTTTGACATTAGAGGATGGTTATGTCCTTTGTTACGTCATTTGCGAAGGCATTTGGGACGAACTAATTTATTTCGAAGTTGATCGAAATTCTCTAAGTACTCTAAAATAATAGCTGTATAAGTATGCATAAAAATATTTTTATTTGACATTATAAATCTACATCAATGTTAGAATGTAATATAGATAATCAAATTGTAACTGTATAACAAAACAGAGTACTCTTAATATAAAAACGTAAATAAAATCAATTATTATCCTAAGAATAATATATGAATAAAAATAAACCAAAAAATGGGTAGCGCTAAAACATTAGGCGTATCCAAATGTTTTAGCATTACCAATAGCAAAATCCATATCTGTTTTAAAATATTCATAACTCTTATGAATGACTGGCAGTTTTAATTGCAGTGAGCATTTGCCATAGGAAATTGTGATAGATCTTCATGCAAAAATATGATCTGTGGCATTAAGGGAAATCCCAGAGGTGGCGGACAATCAGATCCTGTTGCAAATACTAATACATCGGAAAGGGTCACAATACTTTCCGGGTCGCCTAAAAGCATATTATGTGTGTTATATCACATACATTCCAAATCAAACACATAATCTCTAAAATAAGAGATCACCGGAATTTTTTTTAGTTCCAGGTTCAGTATAGACGATGAGGAATAATTCTCCAAGTATTTTTAAAGGGAGTGTGATTTCAGAACAAAATATACCTTTGAATATTTATACTGGGATATTGCTTAATCTTGTCATATAGATCGCATGTCTCCAATACTTCAATTAATTGCCGCAGTGGTTCCCTAATTCTGTCTTTACTAATGAAGACTTTTGTGAATAAACTAGAAACTGGAGAGTTCGATGGGAACTACTCGTAGAATAAGGCTCCACTGTTTTCACTAACGCAGAAATTGACAGAAAAAGTGTAAATTTACAGAAAATGTGTAAATTTACAGAAAATCTGTAAATTTACAGAAAAAGTGTAAATTTTGCTAAAAATATTTTTCAATGTTACGATGGCAGCTCTACGCTTTCGTATTTTAGTAATGTATTTAATATGTAAAAAGTAAAAATACGTAAAAATAAAAAAAACGATTAAAAAAAAGTCGCCTTGACTAGGATTCGAACCTGCCTTACTACGGCTCCAACGTCATAGCAGCGTCAAGTCCTAACGCTTTAACCACGCGGCCACCGAGGAGTTGAAATATTCTATGTAAAATTCTTACTTAAAAGATCATGTTTAGTGAAAGTACTTTTTATTTATAAACATTTATTTAATTCTGTTTTTAGTATTTGTTCTTACAGCGGCAACATAGATACATTATCTGTAAAAATTTCAACTCTCGAGCTATAACGGTTCATGAGATAGACCTTTGTACGGAACCCTAAAAATAGCGATAAATATATAACTATTCTAATACCTAAACAGACTATTTAAATTTAGTTTAAATATTTTAGAATTACGATTTTCTTATCTAGAAATTCAAATTTATTTTGACTTTTAAACACTTTTTTATACCAGAAACACCTCCTAAGAAAAATACTATTATTAGATATAGTTTTCAAAATCAAAATATATGTTTATGTAAAAAAGTACTTAGTTTCAAACTATCGCTGAGTATTTTTTAATAACATATTTGATCACAATATTATATATCTATGATTTTTTGCCAATCGAGAACGGCTATTATGACAGATTTTTTGTGTTAGTGATATTATTAAACTACTAATTACGGTAGTTTGGATTTTTCTTCTCACATTTTTTTATCCACGAAATACACAGCATCTTATGGTTATATACAGGGTACAAAAAGTCTTAAATAAGGGTAGTATATTTCAATCCCAGAAACAAGTGTATAGGTTTTTTTCGCGAAAAAAAATTGAAATTTTGGCTTTTTAATTTTTGGATTTTTTTTAGTTTTTAGTTAAAAACATAATTTCTTGATAATATGGCAACATAGGTAGTAGATTAAATTTACAAGAAAGAAAATCCAGAAAAGATCCAGTGCTTCTCAAAATTTAAGCATTTTACTTATTTAAAAACGGTAAAGAGAAAATATGCTGCTTTTATCGAAATCTACCAGCCCTGAAAATATTTGCTCTTTTTTAAGACTCACCCTGTATCGTTTAGTAGCATCCATGAAATATACAGGGTGGACCGAACTGTATTCCGGAAACTTCGGCAGCATATTCTGCAGATAAAAATAAGTAAAAAAAAGTTTGTATAAATGTATGTCCTAAAATGCTTAATTTCGGAGATACAGGGTGTAGAAGTTTCATTTTTATTTCGATTTTTTTCCAAATAATTTTTGAAGTAACGTCAATATTTGGATGAAAATTGGTTTCTAGGAGTTTTTTGACTTGAGAAATTTGATTTTGATGTCAATATGACTCCTATTTGTAGAGGGCGCCACCTACATATTTTTTGAATTGGTTTGGAGTGAAATAACTTTTCGTCCGTACCTGTATAAAACTACTGAGTAAAAAAATATACATTTTTGACATTTTTTACGTAAAAAAGGTCTCTTGGTAATCTAACCGCTACGAGTAATGGTTCTCGAGATATTTGGAATCGAAATTATCAATACCTCTCATCATTGGCATAAATTAAACATGTTGACTAAATAGTTATTAGACTGAAATCATAAATTTGAAATGTTTTTGTACCAAAGATCACAAATTATTTGGAAAAAATCGAAATAAAAAAAAGTTTTACACCCTCTATCTCCGAAACTAAGCATTTTAGGACAAACATTTATACGAACTTATTTACTTATTTTTATCTGCAGAATATGTTGCCGAAGTTTCCGGAAGACAGTTTGGACCACCCTGTATATAACTTCATCTAGGGTTACTCGTTTGAAAAAAGTTTCATAATATTTATGTTCTCGCTTATATCGTGAAACTTTTCCTTTTAATATTATACGACCCTGCAAGAACAGTTCATTGTTTCGGACGACTCCGGTCGTTTTGCGGGACGTTTTCAAATTTTCTTTGAAAGATGAACGCCATGAATAAGTAAGGACCAAGTGCCGCAGAAAGGCGCGAGCGGGCGATACGTTTTCTCAACTTTATGACGTCTTACAAATAAAAGAAAACATCAATAATTCGCCAAACGATTTTAAATAACTGGCAAAAACGTCACGAGTAATGGAAAAATTTGTATAGTCTAAAAGTCAAAATTAGTGATTACCACAGCCATTGTGACATAAAGAGAAGACATGTGGCTATCTATTTCAAAAATTAAATTGTTCAAATGACATATAATAATGGCGGTAGCTGTCATGGAATTAAGCGATTAAAAAATTATCTTAAATCATTTTTTTTTTCAAATCGAAACCCACTTTTTTTATTTCACTAATTAAAAGGTTTTTCAATTCGTTACTTTTTGAGTATACATGTTTCTATACCTAAAATAAATCGTCTTTAAGTTATTTCAGATTTAATTCGAAAACGTATATTTTTCTTGATTTTATCTAGCTCCCTTTGACATTAAGTGTCAAATGGTCAGACAGTTTATTTCCATCTGTCAGAATCAGAAAACGAATTATTTGCATTTTCTATATTATAAATACTACCTGCTTAAAAGTTTAAAAAGTGTATTTATAAAAATATATCTCGTATTTTTGCTCTTTAGTGATATGACTGATATCTAATAATTGATATTAATAATTATTCGTATGATCGAAAAAAAAACAGCGCAAAGTTGGTTCGGAAATGATGCTGCTTTTGAACAGAACGTCACAATATGACAGGTCCAAATCTATTGTTTTACATCACTTGACGTTTAAAGTCATAGGCTACTGGTTAAATTCAAGAAAAATATACGCTTTAAAACTAAATCTTAAATAACTTAAAAACGATTTATTTTAGGTATAGTCAAAAAGTAACGAATTGAAAAGCCTTTTCAATAGTGAAATAACCACTAGTGTATAATCTATAAAAAAACACTATAATCACTAGTGTATTTTCTCTAAGCAGAAAGAAACGAAAAAAGGTGTTCGTATACCTCCTGGTTTATTTAGACGCCATAATAAAATAAAAAGTGAAACTTCCTGCACAGTTCTACCATAAGCTTCCTGCTGTAAAGGGCTGAAAAGTGGGCCATTTTAAAATTTCATTAGGTTTTGTACCCTTTTCAGGCATACCCTCTCCACCTATTCCAGCGCAATCCCATCTATTATATTGCATGTTTTTGCCTTTTTTCATTGAATTGTCTTTTTCTGTTTCCTATCTTCTAACTGAAAAATTGATTGCCATGTTTTTTGATGTGTTCTTGTGCCCCATTCCAGCAAAAAATTGCTAGACTTTGTTAGCTTGTCCTATAAGAGTAATTTGCTTTAACAGTCAATATGCCTTCTTATTTTCAAA